CCATGATATCAGTAATGGAAATCAAAGCACATAAGAGCCAGGATACGTTTCCCGAATCCACCACGTGTCTGAGCACGCTAGTGTTTGGTCAGTGGCAAGTAATTATCATTGCTGCAGTTTAACATATCTCTAAGGATTATTTTCACGTTTGTGAGACTGCTGGCTCAGGATGGAGACGGTTTTGTGGCAGTCAGCATAAAGATATGTAGCTTACAACAGGGAGGAATACATGTCTCCCCGTTGAAAGCCTGACAGGGCACATGCTACATTTTGACTCGAAACCCACGTGGGATCCTGCCTATCTACTCTCTTATTTGCGAAGTAGGTTTCCCGATGCTTTATTGGAGATACTTCCTAAAGTCATTTTATTAATCTGCAATTGCTCTTATTTCCAGACGTCCTGAAGGCTCTGCTTAAACTGTCGTTTACTGTAGGCGGCGGTGCAGATCGCATCCGTTACACTGCTGACGGCCGTCTGGTCAACACCTTTACCATAAAGCGGGTTTCATCTGAGGACCTCCGTCAGGTGAGAAAGGAATCGACGAGGTTTATATATTGTTTAAACAGAGAAATGTCTTTTTAAAAAATCCTCAACAAATACAGTGGATTTTATGAATTTTTGTTTCCTGGAATGCTATTGAGGACCTTATACATCATAGGTTGAATTATGGTTGAAGGAACTGAAATGCTTTGCTTTTGGGTAGGTAAGGATCTGCAAGAGAGCAATAGCATTAGTTTATTATGACTTTAGGTGTATGATGCACAATACCACACCATTGTGGCAGCTTCCTCTGCTGAATCACCAGCGTGCTCCCCTTAGGTTGGCGTCTATCGTGAGGACACGGGTGTTGTGTGGTCACCTGGCGAGGTTTGGGGAGCTGACTCTGGTGTCCATGGCCGCGAGGGAAGAACTTTGGGATTGGTGGCGCCTGAGGATGGAGAGGAGAACTCTAGTGGTGTCCAGGCTGTCCTGCTTACTCATGAGGTATATTCCTGGCAGGCTTTGTGTAGAGCTTTAACTAAATTTTGCATATATCTGCTTTGAGAAGTTTTATTTAGTAACCTCATTTTGTCCTACTCTGTTGATACATGTCAATTTTATTTATTTATGAAAAATGAAGCCCTATCATTTCCCCAGGACTATGTTGGCCGAACGTGGGCATTCTCTGTATTAGTACTAGCATGTGTGGGTGTGATGGCAGCCTTGTATGTGGCTGTGTATGTCGCCTTAAGGGTGTGTGATGGGACACTCACTGGACCTCAGGTGAGAATCATTAATTGTTAAGGATTGGTTCCTACCCAGCCTGAACATGATTTGTGAGTCTAATTATAGAGTTATTATAGAGTTTTTAAAGTGTCTAATTTATTTTTCCTTTAAGGTTTTGGGTGCTGTTCTTCTAATTGGAGTTATGGGTACATATGCATCTTGTGTAGTCTACGTTCTGCCCCCAATGCCCATCACTTGTGCTGTGCGAGAATGGGCACCACCCATGTGTCTGGCACTGTGTTATGGCATTCTTCTGGTGAAATCTATGCATCTTCGGGCTCTTGTGTCTGTTGGCCTGGGAGGAGAGGTAAATAAACGAGTTTAAATGAACTTAAAACTTCAGAAAACTTGATCAGAGGGATTGCAAATAACTAAAATGAAAATGGATCCCATGGTAATACATTTTATTTCTAGGTCTCTCAAGTGAATCTGCATGTGTCCCTGCTGTTCATCATGGGTGTACAAGGATCGCTATGTGTGCTGGGTCATGCTGGTGGACAAGGAGCAGGAGAGGAACCTCTAGTTAAGATAGGACTAGACGGTGAGCGTCACTGTGGAGAGAACCGCGTGGCCACACTTTCAACTCGAATTTATTTGATTGTTCTGCTCTTAATCACTCTTGTTCTTGGGACCCTGAACCGCAAAATCCATAGAAATCACAATGAGGTAAGGAGATGAAAAGCCACTGTGTATATACTCTATGACAATGATAAACTGATTTTAAAAAGTAACCTTAAGATTATCCTGTGAAGGCAATTTCACTTTCACATTTTACATTGCAGGGCCAATGGTTATTGTTAACATCATGTGTATCAGCTCCTGTTGTTGGTGTGTGGACTGTGATGAGCTACATGGCTCCAGCCCCAATGGAAGCACCCACCACCAGTGTGGCTCTCCTAGCTCTCGCCTCAATTATCTTAGGCCTTGTGTTCATACCTAAGATGAGGATCATTGCTCGTCAGGCTAAGGAATTCAGGTAAAGGTTCCAAGTTGTTTTGTTGCTTTAGGATTAAGCAATGGTAATTTAAGGGAGCCAACTGTTCTGGAAACAGGGGGGGGGAAATGGGATTCTTGTATTTCTTTATCTTTTGCCCTTCAGTTAACTCCTCTGACCTTATTCACTTGGAAGAAATAGACTTAGGGGTTCGGGGCCTCAAACTCAAACTCACTGATTTTCTCTCTCTCTCTCTCTCTCTCTCTCTTTTCTTCTTCTTCTTCTTCTGACTTTATTACTCTATTGTCTAAATTCGTGAAAGTGGTTCTGCACTCAGGTTTTGTTAAGCACAAATGTATCCTTCAAGTTACATGGAAATTACTTATTTGTAAATGAGTGCAGGAGAAGCTGGGGAAAAGAATATAATCTCTTTCACTTGGCATCTCAATGTGTGTTATGATGAAATATGGATGTTGAAAATTGTTTCTTAAAAAAAAAAAAAAAAAATTGGGTGAAATTCCATGTACTTTACAGGAGTTCAGTGATATTTATGAAATGACATATAATAGATATGATTTCAATAAATATAAATGTGTCAGAACTTCCTGATGCAAATATCATGGTTTGCATTTCTTTATCTTTTAACAGAAGCTTAGGCCACAATTTTGAAGCAAAATATTCTTAGTTCCAGAGCAGATTTATATAGAAATAACAATTGCTGTTTCAGACACAAACAGTTAGCTGCCGCCAACTCTGTATCAACAATTTTTACCCAAATGGATGGTGGTCCATTGGGTGGAATTCCTCCTCTACAAGATGGGTTGAAACCTCCAAAGGGAGACAGTCCTAGATTACACCAAAAGGATACTGTAGGATCCACAAGGTCATCTTTGGCATCACAGCAGAGCTACAGGGCTGCTTTCAATGCTGCCTATGGAATTCCGCAAGAGTCGCCCCTCAACACTCCTCGTCATGTCATGAGAAACCCCATTTACGATGCATCTCATGGTGCTTACCCGTGAATGGCAAAGGGAAAAATTACAAAGTCTTTACTCATGATGTTGAAGTACACAGGTCTTACTTATTATTATTATTATTATTTTTTTTAACTCTTATTAAAGCATTCTTGATGTATTGTAAGAGAAAAAGTGCCTAGGGAACTGCTTAGTACAAACAATTGCCAGTATTGGAACTTAACAGTGGCAAAATTTTTGAAATGAGGGAAAGGTGTTGGAAACTTCAAGTGTTTTCTCAGTCCATATTGTGATTGAGCACAGGTGTTTGCTTTTTTATTATTATTGTTATTAATATAATTATTAAAATTCACAGACTGTATGGCTAAAAATTTTGCTTTTATTTTTGTATTTAGTTGTTTCCTAGAGTGAAAGGTATTCTTTAATTTTTTTTTATTTTTTGTGTGTTATATATGGAGAGAAAATGGATACTGATGTACACAGTATTTTATATATACAACTCAGATTATGTTTGGGCTTTATAAATATGACAATAGTGCAAAGACTGTGTATTCTGACAAGCACTAGCAACTACCAAAGTCATAGTTTTAATCATATTATGCATTTTATGCTTTTTATTTTACAATTCATAAACTGTAAAGTATAATAATATGTTAATCCTTCAGAAGGCATTGACTGAATTTTGCTTTGCATTTTTGTGTATAGTTTTCCCCTTATTAATAAATGATGCACATATGCACAAATTCAAATGACACTGATTTCCAAAGTGAATTTATTTTAAGTTTGAGTGGGTATATCCCTTTTTTCAATGTATAAGTCAGCAGTATTCTCCTTTCAGAGTATAGGAGAATCAGTTGCTAAATAGGAATTTAGCAATAATTATTTTTTATATGGCTTTGCAAAACTTTTGGCCTAATTTGAGCTTTAATTTTGTTAAGATAATGATTATGTACAGTGTTCAGTTTTTAGGCCACGACGTCAGTTTCACGGTGACTAGTTTTAGAAGTGTGAATCTTCTCTTTAGGACTTATAGTATTTTTAGCTGTATCTAGTCTGGTTCTTGTTCTGCAGTTAAGTAGAAGAATCTCTCTAATCTGCTTCAATCACAGAAATATGTAAAACAATATGATTAATATAACTGTACATCTATCCTGAATTGAATTACAGATCTTCTGTTGGAGTAGTATTTTAGTTTGATTGTGAACTGTCCTGTGAAGCAGTAGTGAAATAGATGAATGTATTAGACATACCTCATTTATTGCAGTTTTAGTTTATATTGGATAAATTACATGTACTGAATGATCAGTTAGATTACTGAAATGTGGAGAGTTTAAAGTTGTATGATACAAGGGAGGTCAATTTGATAAATCTGGTAAAGCAAGTTTTGACATGGAGATCATTTGTAACATTGTTAAGTATGGTACTCTTAAAATCATCTTCCACATATATATTTATACACTGAAAAGTACCAATTAGCACATCCACTTGGAAAATGGCTTGAAAAATATTAGGGGTACTTCTAACAGTACTAGCCTCAAAAGTTAATGGCAAAACCAAGAGTACTGGAAATACTATCTAGCAGAGTTTTCTTTCTATTAGTACTTTTTTTTAGAGGCATAGCCAGAAATATTAGAGCCATTTTCTTGGTGGTTACAGTAATCAGTATTTTACTAATACTGCATGGAATACAGTCTTAAAGTCCCAAAGTAGTGGCAGTACTTCCCAACTCTGCAATAGACTGATACTTATGTATGTAAATCTTAGGTAATAGAAAAACAAAAAAATGATTAGAAATGTAAATTAGAATTGTAGAGGGTATTACCACACTTTTTACTCATTTTAGTATGAATTTTTGTTATTTTTGATTAACTTTTCTATCTATTGTAATCTGTTAAGATCAAACAAAATTAGGCCCAGTATATGATTTTGTTCAATGTAATATTACTAGGGAAATATTTGAATGTAAACTTAGAAGCTTCTGAATAAATGGCATGAGGACATAGATGCTCACAATGTCTGCCTTCCCATTTGGAAAACATCCTGTTGAGGATATGTGGTTTATCGTGTAGCTGCTTGCTATAGTAAATAAGGATTGCAGAAAGTATGAATGGGGCAGGTACTGTTTGTTATGAGAATGATACTCATTGAAAAAGTAAATCTGTTGTAATGAGAACCAATGTTGATGGTACTTTCTACATGAAAAGTCAGATGTTAAAACAAATAAAGTATGTTGTAATAACTAAAAGATGATTTTAATTCTGATATGACAGATTATTACTATTAGCAATTATACATATTAACCTCTTATATTATTTTCAGTCAATGACTTTCTGTCCAAGGTAGTGATAAAAACATAATTACTACAGCAGAATCAGAACATTGCCAACTATGCCATTAAGTATTCACATATGTTTGTCTCACCCACTGTTGGTAAGTTGGTCTCTATAGGGTTTACCAAGGATTGGTTGTCCATTTTACAAATGACTGTTCATTTTTATATATTCAATATGATATAATAATTGTCTTAACTAAATTCAAATTTGTTTTTTATTATATGACAGATTAGCATGTCATATTTGGGTGCAAATATTAAGTCTACTTAGTAGGCAGACTAGACATGACATGATATGATTATATCATAATTAAAATATATTAACAGTGAACAATGCCATACAAGTTTCCCATGGGTTTGACCAGTCCTAAGTGAATGCATATATAAATATATGAACATATATTTTCTGGTGTATTAATCTCAGACAATAAACA